AAAAAAAGAAAGAATATTACAGATATTCTGCTAGTGTCCTGTATGCATTAATATCAGACATTTTTACTAACAAAAGAAGAATCTATTGTGCAATTACAGCTTTTGTTTCTATTGTTTGTGAATCTATACAGAGGATCGATTAAATTTGGAGGAAGAGGTGATGAATGACTGCAGCAGTGAGCACAGCAGCTTTATCAAAACTGAAAGTGACCCACCTGAAGACCCGTCCCTCCCTGGTGAGCGCACATCCGGACACAAGAGCCCATTGTGCATGCTTTAAGTGTGTCCTTTACAGAGACATTATTGTCTTGAGCGTGTGTGCATTCTTCCAACAACATTGTTTGTTCTTACTCTCTTGCAAGTTGACAGACGCTATGTTTCTGGCTCTCGGCCATTCAGCTTATCTAACCTGTGTGCTATTTATTCCTTGACTTCCTTTCCCTGCCGTCCTGCCTTTTCTCGTGGTCTTGCTCTGGGCAGCTCTAGGTCCTGATTCCTGCTCTATTGGTTTGGAAGAGTAATGGGTATGTAGGCCTCTGTGTCCTTCTCTCGGCTCTTCCTGCATGTTCTTATTCTCAGGGCCGTGCAAACCTATACGGCACAAAAAGTTGAATCAATCATTAAATTGTTGCTTTGACGTATTTGTTAAACTTTAAAGTACCTGTTTCTAAAATATGGCATGTGTCACATGTGATTTGATTTTGATATTAGTGTAGAGTCGTTTTTTAACTGCAGTATTGGTCATTTCCGTAGGATTATCTGGCTCAACAGAAAGTCTGAACACTCAGAGTACCTGCTGCTCCAGCCAGCCGCTCCTGGGTCCCTCAAGCCATTTGCACATGGACGACGATGAACTGGATGTTTAACCCTGCACATCTCCTCCTTTGTACAGCCCGATATGTCTCCACATTGCAGTTTGATGCACTCCCTTTCCAGTATCCCACTTTGAATATGATTGACTCTTATTCTAGGCCTTTTGTTTTTGAACATAACTGGCTGAGGCCGATGAGCTTGTTCTGGTGGTCAGTCATATTTCTTGTGCTTGGTTTTAGGGCTCTATTTTATCAAGTTGCTTCACCCAAAATCACCTTTACATTATTCAAACTCTGCATTATTATCTTTCTTCCATGAATCACTAAAGAAGATTCCATGAAAGTGGAAGTTGATTTTAAAGTACTTGTTAGGCTCCAAAAACCAGTCAAATAAAATAAGTCTTTACTACATATCAAGTTTTCAGAAGCCATATGAAATACTTGTGATGAACAGACCAAACTCTAAACCAGGGCTGTCCAAACTCAGTCCTGGAGGGCCGGTGTCC